AGAGAGATATAGTGTACACAACGATGAAGTCGATGTTTCTCCATTTGCATATTGAACTCGTTATATACCCTTCAAAATCATCTCATACGATTACTGTTTTCCTATCTGCTTCAACTGTATGCATGTCAGATGCCAGACTGCAGAGTAACAGTGTGAACATAGTCGGAGTCGAAGTTTCTTGTTCTGCGAATCGTGTGCGTTATGCCCGCTTGGGAGTTGTCTCATATGGTTAATACGAACTTGTCTGCTTCAAAAGTGTCCATGTGAGATGATAGGATAGAGATATATAGTGTGTTCGACGATGGAGTCGTTGTATCCCCATTTGCCTATTGTACTCGTTATATACCCTTCACAGTCGTCTCATACGGTCACTTTCATCGTATCTGCTTCAACTGTATGCATGTCAGATGCTGGACTGCAGAGTAACAGTATAAACATAGTCAAAGTCGGTGTTTCTTGTTTTGCAAGCTTTGTGAGTTATAGTCGCTTGAAAGTCGTCTTATGTGGTCAATGCGAACTTGTCTGCTTCAATAGTGTCAATGTAAGATGATAGGATAGAGAGATATAGTGTGCACAACGATGAGGTCGATGTATCTTCATTTGCCTATTGTACTCGTTATATACCCTTCAAAGTGGTCTGATATGGTCACTGTAGTCGTATCTGCTTCAACTGTATGCATGTCAGATGTTATACTGCAGAGTTACAGTGTGAACATAGTCGAAGTCAAAGTTTCTTGTTCTGCAAACTCTATGCGTTATACCCGCTTGGGAGTCGTCGTATATGGTCAATGCGAACTCGTCTGCTTCAATAGTGTCCATGTGAGATGATAGGATAGAGATATATAGTGTGTACGACGATGAGGTCGTTTTATTCCCATTTGCCTATTGTACTCGTTATATACCCTTCAGAGTCTTCTCATACGGTAACTGCCATCGCATCTGCTTCAACTGAATGCAGGTCAGATGCTGGACTGCAGAGTTACAGTGTAACATAGTCAAAGTCGGAGTTTCATGTTCTGCAAGCTGTGTGAGATATATACCCGCTTGAGAGTCGTCTCATACGGTCAATGCAAACTTGTCTGCTTCGATAGTGTCAATGTGAGATGATAGGATAGAGAGATATAGTGTGCACAACGATGAAGTCGATGTATCTTCATTTGCCTATTGTACTCGTTATAAACCCTCCAAAGTCGTCTTATACGGTCACTGCAATCGTATCTGCTTCAACTGTATGCATGTCAGATGCTAGCTTGCAGAGTAACAGTGTAAACATAGTCGAAGTTTCTTGTTCTGCAATTCGTGTGCGTTATGCCCGCTTGGAAGTCGTCTTATATGTTCGATGAGAACTTGTCTGCTCTAATAGTGTTCATGTGAGGTGATGGGATAGAGATAGTGTGTACGACTGTCACAACAATGTAGTTGTTAGTATAGTGGATGATTACACCATGTAACGATAAAGTAGGTGGTTAGACCATCCATATCCATTTATATCGATTTATAAGGGGTTTGCTTAGCTTAATATTTTGCGAGATGATAATATTCAAATAGGCACTAATAGTTTAAAGGTAACTGAAAGTACGAGACTATATTCAAAGATAACAATATGTATTGAAGCATGAAACATTATGGGTGAAGTGATGACAAATATGAATAAACAACAATGAATATAAAGACCTAACAACAACTCACATTATGACGACCATACGAAGAGCTCTTGTCAAGTCAAGAGTAGCCCCAGACCAGACTAACTTCGGAACCCTCACATCCAATATTTATATACATTATTTTATTAGATTTGCACGTTTCTCATAAAAGTTCCTTGGTCAGTTTTCATAGTTCAATGTCAATGGATGATTTGATTAATTTTATGTTTATAAAATCCTCATGGTTCCAAATTACTAATATACTGTATGTTCTACTCGTGCCATGTGCCTATTTTACTCGTTATATACCCTTCAAAGTCGTCTCATACGGTCACTGCCATCTAATCTGCTTCAACTGTATGCATGTCAGTTGTTTGACTGCAGAGTTACAGTGTAAACATTGTCAAAGTCGGAGTTTCTTGTTCTACAAGCTTTGTGCGTTATTCCCGCTTGGGAGTCGTCTCATATGGTCAATGCAAACTCGTCTCCTTCAATAGTGTCAATGTAAGATGATAGGATAAAGAGATATAGTGTGCACAACGATGTATCTTCATCTGCCTATTGTACTTGTTATATACCCTACGAAGTCATCTTATACGGTCACTGCAATCGTTTCTGCTTCAACTGTATGCATGTCAAATGCCAGACTGCAGAGTTACAATGTAAACATAGTCGAAGTCGAAGTTTCTTGTTCTGCAAACTGTATGCATTATACCCGCTTGGGAGTCGTCCAATATGGTCGATGTGAACTTGTCTGCTTCAATATTGTCCACGTGATATGATAGGATTGGACGATATAGTGTGCACAACGATGAAGTCGATATATCACCACTTGCCTGTTGTACTCGCTATATACCCTTCAAATTCGTCTTATATGGTCACTGTAGTCGTATATGCTTCAACTGTATGCATGTCCGATGTTATACTGCAGAGTTATACTGACATAGTCAGAGTTGAACTTTTTTGTTCTGCATGCTGTGTGCAATATACCTGCTTGGAATTAGTCTTATATGGTCATTGCGAACTTGTATGCTCCGCTTGTGTCCATGTAAGATGAATTGATAGAGAGATATAGTGTGCACAACGATGAAGTCGATGTATCTCCATTTGCCTATTGTACCCGTTATGAACCCTTCAAAGTCGTCTTATACGGTCACTGCAATCGTATCTGTTTCAACTGTATGCATGTCAGATGCTAGACTGCAGAGTTACAGTGTGAACATAGTCGAAGTCGAAGTTTCTTGTTCTGCAAGTTGTGTGCGTTATCCTCGCTCAGAAGTCGTCTCATATGAGCATTGCGAGCTCATCTACTTCAATAGTATCCATATGAGATGATATGATAGAGAGAAAGAAAAAGCACTCCGATGGAGTCGATGTATCTTCATCTGCCTATTGTACTAAACTTTCTATATTCGCTTCAAAGTAATCTTATATGAGTAGGTATTGGGATGGGTTTGACAGACAAGGTGGGGCGTGGCCTAGGCGGGGCGTCAGTTAGGGATGTGGGGTAAAGTCTAGCAGGGGGTGAAGTAATAGAGGGGGAAGTGGGGCGGGGCTTGGCCCTGATTGGTCGTGGGTGGGGTCATTGTTCTCATTGGCTGTTGGGATTGTCTTATGGCCGACGTGGGGGTTTACCTTTCAAGGTGATTGATGGCTGGGGTCTTGCTTGGACTGGATTGGACGAGGGTGGATCTAATTTTCACATTGGCTGTTGGAATGTCTGATGACTCGACGTGGTGATGATGATGTATGAAGGATTTCATGAAGTGATTGATGCTGGAGTGGGTGCTGTCTTATGGCCGACGTGGAGGTTTACCTTTCAAGGTGATTGATGGTTGGGGCCTTGCTTGGACTGGATTGGACGAGGGTGGGTCTAATGTTTACATCGGCTGTTGGAATGTCTGATGACTCGACGTGATGGTGATGATGTATGGGGGATCTCGTAAAGTGATTGATGCTGGAGTGGGTGGTGAGGAAGAGATATTACAGGCTTTGGGAGGCGTATAGTTGATATGTTAGGTATTTATGAGGTGATATTAGGTGCTATCATGGATGTGAGGTATGTTTTGTGGTGTATAAATCTATTGGACGAGGGTGGGTACAAATGTTTACATTGCCTGTTTGATTGTCTGATGGCTTGACGTGGGGGATGTACCTTCCAAAGTGATGATGTATAGTGGGTTTCGTGAAGTGATTGATGCTCCTCTATTTCCTTATATCTCTCTACATATTCCTTCATTGTGTTGAATGTGGATTCAACTATTTTTCAAATCATCATTTTCCCTCTCTCTGTTCCGAAACAACACACACACACACACACACATACTTGTCTGTGTAGCTTTGTGGCACCCCGACCTTTACACCCAATTGTGGCGCTTTTGATGCCTGCTAGAGTACGCATGGTAATTTAAATTACGAATTGAATGCGCTAGGTGGCGCACATTCACCCTCCGTAGTTTCCGAGATGAATATACATTCAGTAGGCGAGCATGTGGCATCCGTTGCCACATTTAATGCATTCATCTCAGAATGTGTTACGGATTCCACATGAAATATATTTGCTTTGTAGTGTGTGAAGGATGCAACATGATCAAGGTGTGTGTCAAAAATTCCATTGGGCTCAAATACAGATCAGTCATGAATCGTGATTTTGGAAATTATTAATGCATTCGAAAGTTTGTTCAATTGAAAAGAGACATTATGAGATCTTGAAAATTCACTATATTTTGGAGCCAGGTGTCATGAAATATATATTTCTCAATTAACTAGTAGATATTTTGGAAAGAGATGATTTTTAAATTTCTTTAACTATCTAATGAACTAGTTCAATTACTCAATAATTTATGGGTACTGTTCGTGAGATGAGTAGTTTAAATGCTGGTTGAAGTGGTAAAGTAGTTTCTGCTTCCATTCGTACCATTTATATGAAATGAAGTTATTAAATGGGTGTATCTTGGAGAGTGCAAGGTGAGTCATTGCTACTTTACTTATCTCATGATGATTTATTCATACAATCTTGCTTAGTATTACAGATGCGAAAAAAAAATGTCGCACAAACATGAAATACAAATGACAAGGGTATGGTTGAGAAGACATACGCATATCACCTGCAATTCTCGCTTTTGTTCTGAACAAAAAAATCAAAAATTCTCACAATTTTCACAAAAATAAATTCGAAAACTCAACTCTTTTCAGTAACATAATATTCATACTCTCGAATGTTGAGAAAACGTAGGCAAATACTCAGAACAACTGTTACAGTTATTATACCATGTACTGAAATGATGTATTGTGGTACAAAGGCAGTAAATGAGCTCGATTAGCTGGAAGATGAGGGCTGCTAAAACGTTTTGGTGACCTAATTGTTTCTTGCCTATCAAGAATACACAGAAAAAGAGATTATACATAAATCTTTGATTTCATGAGATTTGTTTGGTTCTCTGGATTCCAAACTTAGATTCACACTGACTTCTTATGGAGAATTTATGTGGAACAGCAGGAAACGCGCCACGCAAATGACAGTCAAAGGTGCCCAGATAGTGAAAAACTTGAAAATCGTTCTTTGGGCTGCTAAACTCATTACAAAACGATTTTGTAGTTTTCCACTATCTATACACCTGTATTTAACTTGCGTGATGCGAATTTTCGCATTTCACATAAATTTTTGTTGATTGTCAGTGTGCATCATAGTTTGGAAGCAAGAAAATGAAAAATTTCATGAAATCAAGGATTTTTGTTCAGCTAATAGCCACAGGCTACTGAAGCTCATTTTCTGCCCTTGTGACACAATATACTATGAAATTTCAGTTTCGATTTTTCTTATTTCTTGTTATTACATTCTTAACGAAAAATTTAATATCAGTCCATGATCTACTGCTGAGTATATTGTCATGATCATGTTTTATCATCGTACACTTAGCCTTTCCTGGTACGATTCCTCTTTTTATTCCAATTTTGAATTCGTTCAACAAAACTTCCTTCTCAGAATGATTCCACGGAACTCTTCCTAGAGCTGCCTCCCTCTTCGTCCTTTTTGGTTTGGTGGTTTCTAAGTAAAAAAAAATTAGCTGAAATTCCTTATGTTATAAACTTACTGTTGTACAGAGTGTTCCTGAATGTTATGTACATATTGGAGGAGGTAACTTCTTGGCTTTTTCTGGGAATAAAAATAAAAATATAAAAATGTCTTCTCACTGCCCTATTGAAATTTCCATCAGCTGTCACACTTCGAATTTATTGATCTCTAGGTACTTTGTGATCCGATAGAATATATTTGATTTTTATGAAGTGGTTCTTAAGTTTTTCAGGAAAGAAATATCATCTCCATTTTCAACACATTGTATATAGAAGACAATCAAGTCAGGACATGTTTATGTGAGCTTCATGAAAAAAAAAAAACATGGAATCGCATTTCTCAATATGTACATGACATTTAGGAACACCCTGTATAACAATTTGTATAGATATTATGAAGTCGTAGACAAAATATTGCTTTGCAAGTTACTGTAAATTTTATAGGTTATTCAGTGAACTACTTCGTGAAGATAATTTTCGAATCTACCCAAAAGTGAAATTAAGTGATGTTTCCACACATTGCCCTCATTACCCGAATTTGACTAATATATACACCTACTAGGTTTTTGTTTCGCTTTTTCAAGTGATGGTTCTGATGGTAATTCTATTTCCATTTTGTTTGCTGAATCCCCAGCACTGACCCTTAGAATTCCTTCATTGCTTTCATCATCAGCTTCATCATTTCCATCTAAATCAGGCGGATCTTCTTCTATAGGTGGCAAATCTAGAAGAATATTCATTGATGTTGACTCAGTTTCGTGCACCATTTTCAGTATTTATCCTAATCCAATACACACACAAAAATTGCGATGGCACTTTACAATACCCTCATATGTTCTCAAAAATAACGCCTGTCAGATCTCACTATTTTGGTAGTTTATCTCCAAAATCCCGCCAAAATGACTCACTTGTGAGGTTATCTTATTTTCTGTTGAAGATCAACTGGATGTTCCAGATTCAGCAGAAGAATAAGGAGATGACAAACTCCAGCCGCTAGCGAAACCCTTCTACTAGTTGTGAGGTTAATGGGTGTTCAATGTTATTGTTCATCCACTAAATAATTTCACTACTAGGTACTATCATTATATTGCGAATGTTTTGGATATTTTCACCATGTAATCAACAGATTTGAACCAGAATAAGCTTCCAATATAGATCGAACCGACGAGAGGAGATTGGAGTGGCATCATGGGTAAGTAACTATTGAGAAATGATTTTTCTATTAATATTTCCTTATTATTTTTCAGGTATGCAGCATCCTTGAAGCACTCGAAAGGAAGATGACAGTTCAAGCATGATCAATAAACAATCAGTATAACGATCGAATAAATGTTTTAGATAACTCTGCTTATTGTCTTGGCTCTCATATACCTGCTTATACATATCAAAGTGAAACCGTGAAAACTTGTCATGTTATAATACATTTTCTCATTTCTCCAATATTGCAAAGTCTTAATAAAATAGTAACCGTTCAACCATTCATCATTGTTAATGAGAATAGGTTTCGCGTAGTATCAAGTTTCCATATAGATACTATCCGTAAATTTTCAAAATCTGTTCATTTGGAAGGTGCTCGAATTTGTCTCGCAATGTCAGACGGAATTTGCTAGCTTTTTCCAAATAGAACACCCAGTTTTTTTTTTCCAAATTGATAGCATCACTTAAATCCTTCGCAATCATGAAATATATTTTTCATCGATTGCGACGTTGTCAAATTGCTTTCATGCATTTTAGATAAAGAATCAATCATTATCAATAATCGATAAAGGAACTTGTGATTCAATATTATATTCTCGATTATATCGGACAATTTGATATTTGGGAGAAAATCAGTCATCTTGGAGAAAAAGGAGACTTCGAAAAACTTCTTCATTTGGCGACGATTGAGTTATCAAAGAAATATAACATGATTGTGAAGAGTCTTTGTGAAGAATTAGATTCTTGAATGAATTGCTTCCTGAATTAACAGATCATAAAAATTAAAAGATAGTGTCTGCATTACCTTGATACTACTGCACGTGAATCATTTATTCTCAACGATGATGAATGCTTCAATTGTCAGTTTCTTATCATAACTTTGCAATAGTAAAAAGATCAGAGCATCAGTTGACAAACTTGACAAACTGCAAACAATTTGAGCTCTTCATATGGGGTTGAAAAAACATCAAGAAGAAGGATGCATCATGAATTGGAGGAAGTAGATTATTTCTTATAGAATGAGTTGGGTTCAAGTGCCTCAGCTTCAGTAGAACACCCTGTACAGTTGGAAGTAACTTCTAATTATGCCTTATCAAAAACTGTGAACCCTCCTTCTTGAAATTTTGTGTGTGTAGTAGCTTACGAGATATCGAAGAATTACGCAACAAACTGTTTTTTAACACCTCGTTCTCAATCAGCTGCCTTTCAATATTGAAGGTAAAAATAATCAAAATTTGCCTCACCTTGTACTTGAATATCCTCTAGAGATTTTCCAGCAAATGTATGTGCTTTTCCTTGGTCAACTGCCAAAAGCAACCTGCTGACTTTGGTTAGCTCAACTGTATTTTCATGGAGACGGTAGAATTCACGATGGACCCTAATATCGTGACCCAAATGTCTCGCTAGCCAATCACACTCGTTCTCTTTGAGATTGAAAACTTGACAAACGGTAGCTACGTACTTTCTTAACTTTGTACTTGTTATCGTTTCTGGCGACTCTAAGTTTGCTTCAGAACACCATTTTTTTATGCAATCGTGGCCTCTCATATAGGAATGTAATTCACCTAACCGTGCAAACACGAAAGGATTTCCCTCGGGCACTCCCACTTCTATACGAGTTGCCAGTAGAAAATCGATAGATTCTTTCATTTCTTCAGTGAGCAAGACTGGTACTTTTCTTCCTCGCTTTCCTACTATTTCTACAACCGTTAAGGCACTAGCTAACTGATTTTCAAATTCCGTCAAAGATTCTCTCATTTCTGCTACACTTTGACTTTGCCATGCCGGTCTGTTAGTGTAGTTCTCAACTCTCATTCTTGCAGCTTCTCCTGATCTTCTTTTATTGAAAAGAATGATACGGCTCAAGGTGAGTGATGCTAGTTTACTCCAATTTTGAAAACTCTTTTCTCTTTTCATGTCATTCTTAGTTTCTCCGATCATAAATTCTAAGAACTTGCTCAATTTGATCAAATCACCAGTAATTGGAAGTAAATCAACGGAATTGAGTTTTCTAGATTGCAGAGTAGCTAATGCATTAGATGAGATTCTGACGCTCCACTCCAAATCCAAAATCGACAAAAAACCTAACAGTATATCATTTCTTTTCAGGTCACCCTTCCGCAAACATAAACCTCTTTCAATCCCAATGCATTTTCTGACAGAATACCCAATTTTCAGCGCCAAAGATGGAATTCCAAATTCAGTCCTTTTCGCTACTTTGGTAGATGTTGAACAGAGAGACTTTGTCGCTGAGACAACAGCATCAAACATTTCAGGAGTGAGAGCGTCAATTAACTTGTTTACATTCGTATTTCCCTTAGTGTGCTCTATTGTTAACCTCCCAAGTTGCCGCATAGATTGTCTTATTAGTTCTCTCTGAGTGCTACCATATTTTTCATAGAGAAATGCTCCATATCGTAGAATGAGATCATCTTTGCGACATATTTCAGATATGTCATCATTTCGCAGCTTGTTCAAAATATTAGAACGAAAATCTTGTGTTAGGTTTTGCCCATAGATTCCATTCAGTAGGGAAGTACTCTCAGCAGCTGGTTGCCGTGATGTTTTCAACGATTTCAAAATATTTTTGTCCTTCATGCAGACACATGAATATTTAAGATGGTGCCATAGATGCCGTTTCTTCATGAAACCTAGACATTTGGGACAAGGACCATAATCAGAATATTTCAGAAACTTTTTTTCTTGTTCGGTTGGTCTACGTGATAAGACGAGTTCTCCCTTTTGCAATAAGAGTACGTCACAATTATGATAGAAGTCACCATTACGCTTCAGAGCATTGAAAGCATCTCTTCGTCTTTTGGAACATTTTGGCATACTCAGAATTTTGGCAACTTCCATTTCTTTATCATGAGCCCTTTCAAAATGTCTGGCTAAATTACGAAGCAACTTGTGACAAAAAAAACAACTATGGTCTTTATCCCGTATTCTCTTTCCACTAGATGTTTTTTTTGCACATATTATCTGGATATGTTGTTCTGTTTTTTTTCTGCAATTAGTAGAACTAGTTACATCGGAGAGGAGGTTATCGGTTTCCTGGTCAGTTACCAATGAAGAAAGGTTTCCGTTATTATGGACAGGTTGACTTTGTGAAAAGTGACCATTGTCATAATCAGTTGATAGCTCATTCTCAGGAGTTTCCGGTATAATCGAACTACTGCGGGACTCATCACTAGGTACGTATTCAGATTCAGATCCGCCTGAACCAAAAGGTTCGGGTTCTGATGATGATTGTTCGTCGTCTTCAAAATCCAATGCTCTAGCATTTTCCGAATTCGCGAGCCGCTCTAAATTGATTCGTTTTCTTGGTATGGTTTGAATTTGTGGACTAACATTGGTTGTTGTCAGTGATTCATCCGTAGTTGATGATATCGATGCATCTTGAAAATCTAAAATTGAAAAAATCGATTTCGTGATTTAATGTCGAGTTTCTAAAACCAATAGGTACTTTTTTTATACACTTCATCAAGATGTGACCTCAACGTTTCCCAGACAGCACTGGATATTCCTAGAATATTCTCTAAATATGCTAAAAAGGAGGAGTATATTCCGAATATTCATCGATTATTCCTAGAATATATACATGCCTCTGGAACATCTAGAAGGAATATTCCAAAGTGATGTTCAGGGAATATTCAGGTATGAATTTTCCAGGAATATTCCCAAATGAATATTTTCTCTTGTATATTCATGAAATATTCCCAACTGAATGTTCTGTGGGGTATATTCATGAGATATTCTCAACTGAATATTCTGTGGTGTATATTCATGAAATATTCCATGAATATTCCTATGTTTCTCAACACATAAATACCCATCATTATTTCAGAGTTGTGAGTATCGAACATAAAAATTAGATGTAAGGCGATTTTGAAACAAGAAGTGTTCATGATCCGATTTCGAACAACGCTCTCACAATAAATTGATATGAACATCATTATTCAATTCGATTACTGGCCTAGTGGTCAAGGCGTTGGTCTGATAGTCTTGAGGTCACGAGTTCGATCCCCACTAGGGTCACTTTTTTCATTTTAGGCTCGATTTTAGGATATGTTCATTGGAATATTCCAGGAATATTCAACATGGAATATTCTTTTGAATATATTCTATGAATATCTGAGGAATTCCCATTCGCATATTTAGAGAATATTCCACAGATATTCCAGAATATTCCAGATTATTTCTAGAATATTCCAATATTCAAAAAAGGATATGATAGGGAGATTCATGGAATATCTGGTACTGTCTGGGTTGTTTGTTGCGAGCAACTCAAAAGTGAATTATTTTTCCTGAGATGGCACCATATACAGGATGTTATGTTAGTAAGTGGCCAACTTCTAAGAGGTGGTTCTTGAGTAATTTCATGATGAAAAGTTCATATGACCAGAGCAGCTGCAGTAATGCTTCGTTTTCAAGATACAGTGTCGAACTTTTTCAAAAGAAGATAGGTTGATCGTGAATCAAGTAATGACTCAATTGGTACCTTTCACTACAGATAATAATTCAATATTTCAACAGAATCATATCGATTTTTGCGTTACTTATGGAAATGCGATTTGTTTCAATTCTTTGATACCCTGTATCCTGAAAATGGTGTATTGCAAGATCCATGTTCATATCAACTATTCGACTTGGAATAAATCTCAAAGCCAACTCTTGAAGTTTGGCCACATATTTTGATAACACCATGTATATTTTTGAGAAGCTGAATTCTTCGAGTACTATTCTTTCCGTTTACGTGAGTTTTGAATGAAGAATTCTGAAATTCACGAGTTTATTTTGTGGTCTGATATCCTAGATATAGTATTTATATGCTCTGACACCCAAAACATCCACATATCAATTTCAAATCATATTGGAGCATAATCACAGAACTTGTCTGTCATCTTGGAGCCACCATATTGAATTCTCGAATTTTGAAGAGAGAATCATAAGCTCCAACAACAAAAACCCTCGAAATTTTTACAAAAGAATCAATATCGCCGACTCCAAAACCCCGAAATACCAACAATGAATAGAATCAGATCATAATTACGAAACTTGCCCGCCATATTGGATTCGCTATCATGAATTTTTCACATTTTACAGGATTAATCATGAACTTCATCTTAGAAAACCCTCGATATAAATTTTGAATAGTATCTGATCATAATTACAGAATCCTTCCGCCATATTGGATCCGCCATCTTGGATTTCTGATTTTTGAAGCCAGAATCATGAACTCTAACCCCGAAAACCTCCCCCTCGACCTCCCCTGATATCAATTTCAGAAGGATTCGAATTATAATTATAAGACTCGTCCGCCATTTCAAATCCGCCATCTTGAATTTTTCAATTTCGATAGAGGGATTATCATTTCCGAACTAGAAAACCTCCATCTACCAACTTTGAATAGAATTGAATCATAATTACAAAACTCGATCCCAACACCGAAAACTCTCAGATAGCAAATTCGAATAGAATCGGATCATATCGCCATATTGGATCCGTCACCTTGAATTTCCAAATTCGAAAGAGATTATTATAATTTCCAACCCCGAAAACACTCAGATACCAATTTTCAATAGAATCGCATTTCATTTACAAAACTCGTCCGCTATATATTGGATCCTTCATCTTGAATTTTCGAATTTTGAGGAAATAATCATTATACTCCAACCACTAAAAACATTTCATACCAATTCTGAATGAAATCGGATCATAATTTAAGAATTCGTCCGCCATATTGGATCCGTTATCTGGAATCTACTAATTTTGACATAAGAATCATTATATTCGACCCCAAAAACCTCAGATAAAAATTTCGAATAGATTTGGTTCATAATCAAAATTTATTGAATTGGCCATCTTGAATTCTATAATTTTGACAAAGGGGTCGTAATAACATAATCCGTCATACTGGATCCGCCATCTTGAAATTCAAAATTTTCATTACTTATTCTATTCCGGACTAAGAGAAATCCAAGAAATCAAATATCATAGAAGCTGGTCCAGTCCAATTGTTGAGATAGCTAGGTAATTTATTGGGTACTCACTTTTAATTGTCAGTTCTCTATAATGTCGTTGAAGACCTTTTGTCGTTTCATAACTTGGCAAATTCAATAAACGATTGTCCAGTTCCCTGTTTCTCGCTTCAGCCATGTTTAGAATCCTTTGACTCCTAGTTTCCATGATCTAAAACGTTTATTTCACCCTTGCAATGAATGATATTGAGTAACATTATAAGATGCATACTTACAGAATGTATTGTTAGTCGCCCTGTGAAAACGTCTCCTAACACTGTGGCGGTCGAGACACAACTGATTTGTGATTTGGACTGATTCAGCCTAACTGTCGAATAATGAATAGTGTGTGTGACCAGAGGGAGCCACCATATCAGGGTACAAGTGTAGTCACAATTTGGTAGATAGTATACAAACTATGGATGCGTTTATGGCATACTATACACAGATGAAATTCCCGCTATGTCCCAATCAGTGGCGACTTTATTTCCAGTGGAATTTGTCGTACTGTCGTCAATGATGCCGCATATCTATAGAGGCACACACGTAACACGCATTTAGCGAAGTTGTGACATATTTTGCTGTGGCATCCGAATGTGAGTTGCCACAACTAAAGCGTACGCCACAATTGAGTTTAATGCACACACAGGTTGCCACAGTTAATGCGAGACAAACACACACACACACACACACACACACACACACACACCTCTTTCTCACATTTTATAGTCCTCTATCGAAATCACTCTATACGTGTCCTAATTCTATCGATACCAACTGTGGAAGAGGTATTCAGAAGACAACAAAGAGAATATTTGGAGAATACCACTGCACATAACGATGTAACCTGGTTGATCGACTGACGTAGACTGACGTCCTTACTTCGATTTCATCTGATTCGAGCAGTTTGGGTAGGCGCGCACTAAACCCACAATATTTCATAGCGGTGAGGAAAATGACGATAGGAAATTAGAACACTGACGAAGAGACATACACTGTAACGCTCTCTCTGTCGCATGATGGTGTATCTATCTCCGTCTCTCTGTCCACTTCTCTCTCTCTCTCTCTCTTTCTGCCGTTTCTTCCACCTATCGGTTCATCCACTCCTGCTACCTGACCCCTTCTCTCCCCACCCCTTCTCTTCCATTCCTGCCATCCGCCAAACCTTCCATCTGTCACTCCTGCTACCTACGAAACCCTGCTATCTGCCACTCCTGCTATCTGCCACACCTGCCATCTGTCACTCCTGCTACCTACGAAACCCTGCTATCTGCCACTCCTGCTATCTGCGACACCTGCCATCTGTCACTCCTGCTACCTACGAAACCCTGCTATATGCCACTCCAACTATCTGACACACCTGCCATCTGTCACTCCTGCTACCTACGAAACCCTGCTATCTGCCACTCCAACTATCTGCCACACCTGCCATCTGTCACTACTGCTACCTACGAAACCCTGCTATCTGCCACTCCTGCTATCTGCCACACCTGCCATCTGTCACTCCTGCTACCTACGAAACCCTGCTATATGCCACTCCAACTATCTGCCACACCTGCCATCTGTCACTCCTGCTACCTACGAAACCCTGCTATCTGCCACTCCTGCTATCTGCGACACCTGCCATCTGTCACTCCTGCTACCTACGAAACCCTGCTATATGCCACTCCAACTATCTGTCACACCTGCCATCTGTCACTCCTGCTACCTACGAAACCCTGCTATCTGCCACTCCAACTATCTGCCACACCTGCCATCTGTCACTACTGCTACCTACGAAACCCTGCTATCTGCCACTCCTGCTATCTGCCACACCTGCCATCTGTCACTCCTGCTACCTACGAAACCCTGCTATCTGCCACTCCTGCTATCTGCCACACCTGCCATCTGTCACTCTTGATACCTACGAAACCCTGCTATCTGCCACTCCTGCTACCTACCACACCTGCTACTTTTAACTACTGCTGCCTGTCGTATCTGCTATCTATCACTCCTGCCATCTGGCATTCCTGCTCACGCTCACTCTTCTTATCTGACACTATTAAGAATCCACAAAAATGTTTATAGTTACTCCAATAATAAAGTTACCTACAGGTAGATATTTCACCGACTTCATGACGTGTCGTGGACACTCTATATTGACTACTCCCGAGGCTACTCCTTGTTCTGGAAGTTCTCATGAGTCGTCTCCAGTAACTTTCGTTTTGTTTCGTACCACGCGTATGTTTTTCATCGAAGAAGGACACAATACTATTGGTGCCCCATGGTCAATGAGAAGGAAAAACATTTTCTTTTTTTTTGTTCAATTTCGTCATGAAACCTTCCTTTGGATTCAATAATAACGAAATACCCACCAAGTCCACTATATCTTTGCTCGGTATTACCATCAGCAATCCTCCACATGGGAAAATCACTTCCGATCCATTACGAGAGCTGCATCACAGAAACTTGCATTTTTGTTCCGTGCGAACAGCTCAACAGCTTCTCATGATTGACAAAGCACAAATACGGCCGGTTCTAGAACACTGTTCTCATGTATGGGGTTCGACACCCAGACATACGCTGATGTTCTCAGATTCCATGCAGAGAATAGCCATTCGTCTGGTAGGTGATGCCACACTAACTAACACTAACAAGTCGGCGACGTTTCACCTTTCTATAGATACTTCCTCGGACAATGTTTCTCAGAAATCTCTGCTATACTTCTATCACCAGTAATACCAGTCAGACGAACTCGCCAGCCCCAGTCGGCACATCCTTTCGTTTCTAGAGATAAAAACTGTTAATATGAAGAGGGGTCATTGTAGAGTTTAGGTTGAAGCCACTTTGTGAAATAAAGATTCTTGACCATGAAATCCTATAGCTTGTAATCCTTGAACCCCGAATTCTACAACATGAACAAATATACGCTGATATAGCATAGAAACACGACAGCTTCAGTTACTCATGAGCTCTTTCGTCTGATTTTTGCGATAGTAACATCAATATTTGAGAATTCAAATTTTTAAATGACTAAAACGGAGTGGTGAACCAGAATACACATATTTTGTTTCATAATCATTACATCGAACTCCAGCAGTAGGTAACGACAGCATTGGATACTTACTTCTGTCCACCAAAATAATTTTCAATGAAAAATTGATTTAGAATTCATAAAACATTTCAAGAAGAAAAAGTGAAAGAGCCATTCAAAATAACATAAGTTATTTCAGAATTCCTTGCTACATATAACCACATATCTATGTTGAGTCTTTTTTTTTTATAGGTGGAGATAAACAACACTGGTGTGAAATGCACTTTTTAATCAAATACGCAAATACAGTGCAAGATGGTGTAAGGTACACGAGGTGAAGGAAAGTGACACAGTTTTCATGCGAAAAATTACGTTATACCTCTACCTTTCTCGAACGAGTCGAACGCCCGTCAAAAATGAGTGATATTTCAATTCAAAAAGCCTCATTTTCACAAATGCGTTGAACAATAGATACAACTCTTCATGTCACTATAATTACTTTCGATAACAAGGGAATAGACAAACTTTTGAACAATTCGAAAATTCTACTCAACTGTCATAGAGCTAAAATATGTTGCTTGTCAGTGGCAGAAGGGGAAAATTATCTGGATCTGAAAGAAAAGAGTGAATCAAGAAAAAAAAAAGCGAGCTATGACACAATGCTGGCTCCTCACAATGGCCAACAAGTTGATGATTTATTTCAACAATATGAAGATATTCAGTGAAATTGCTTTCGAAGATGGGATAGATAATAGATATTCAACTTATTAAAAAAAAACGTATTTTCGAGAGGATAAATGATTTTATGCAGTGGTCAATGAATTGAAAAAACGGTTGTGGTTGATATTTGATTCAAAAACTCATAGGAAGACCCGTATTTTCGGAATACTGAGTACTTAGTGAAATATCAACTCTCAATACACTAAGTAAACAAATGATAATGGAGATAAATAGGGTTTTATACTCGGCTTTCCTATATGTGGCGAATGCAAATTTTCCAATTCGAAGCTATTCTCAGAGGATGAATGGAGAAGTTCTTTCATAAGTATGGAAATACAAGATTTCTAATGAGTCGACATATTCAGAATGAAGAATAGCAGCTATTTTAAAGAGATCGTGAAGGAAACATTCGAAAAAGTAGGTATTTTGAATGTTTTCTGATTATTGCCGGAAACTTCACATTTATGAGTATGTTATCAGAATCTAAGCATCACTTTCAGATGAATTTTCTCTAGATCTTGCAATTCAAGCCGTTTTGTTTCCTCTTCAGATTTTGTTTCGCCATATATATCGATCATGTGATATATATCAGAATTGCTTTATGTTGTCAGGCACAGGTTGGACATCGAGAAAATAGTTTCAATGCTCTAATATAATACTCTTCTCTTCCATACTAGCTGATATACTAGGTATTTTTATGAGCTCAATGTAGGGCTCTGTATAGTAAAGACTTTCTCTATTTCTCCTTTGCTTCGTACACTTGAGTCAAGGGCGGGCATGAAAAATTGTTTTTCCCTAAAAAACAAAAATTCAGTTTAAAATAACAGACTGAAATTTTTTTCTGTATATTATTCTCAGCACATCATTCCCATTGCATACTACAGGATAATTCGAACAAATTTTAACTTTATCTGCGGAAGTAACAAAAGAAATACTGGAGAGTTACTTCAGAAATTGATTACGCCTCGTTTTTCGGAAATATTGATACCCAGTATATCGATAACTAAGCAAGTCTTTGTAGACGAAAAGTTCACAACTATTCTTATACTTTCTTTTGGTATGGAATCAACCCTCGAATTTTGAAAATGTATATTGAACACCCTGTATATAGAAGGACCATAAAACAGTGCAAATCATGATCATTTCGTGATAATGAGCCACCTGACTCTGAAATCTTTTTATAGATTGATGGACATTCTGAGAAGATATTGTAAGCCTATATTTTTCGTATTTTTAAGTTCCCAGCCAAGGGTATCAAAAATACAAAAACAGAAACCAAGTTTTTCAATTGAAAAAATCTCTTCATGTTGAAAACGGGAGCAGAATCGGTCCCGAAACTTCCAAAGATAAGTGAAAATTTGATATTTTTTCCATATACCTTTATTTCTCTTCTCCAAAAATGTTTCAATACAAATTGTCACTGACAAGCTAGTGAATTTTTCTTTTAGGCTCTCTGATAGGAAAATTCTTTAAACGCAGTGACATTTTGGGGCAAATCATCTGATTTGTCCTTACTACACGTATATTGAAATAATATTCATATTTTTATTTTATAGAAACGAGTAGAGAAAATCCCAAAAAATTTGGAATAATGAATAT